AGCGCGAATTCATGCATGCGGCCTAAGTATTGTCTTAATATCAAAAAATTTAGGTGAACACGTTTTTCTAAGTGAATAGGCAATGAACAGCCAAAGTCACCAAAATTGGCATAAAGATGCACAACAAAGAGTAGAAGAAGTGTCCGAAAAATCTCTGAAATATCATGAGAATGAGAAAATACTGTACTGTGATTTAGGTCTCCGGCGGAGACCTATGGGAGAGCTCAGATCTCCGATTAGCAAACACTTTTTTGTTTCTCATAATTTTGCGTTCCTTATAGCAAACACTTTTTGTGCTCTCCTTGACCCAACTTACAGCGCAATAACCAGATCATAGCACTTTTTCCCTTCTTTGCTAGAGCCCTAAATTCTTTTACCTTAATGAAGAAAACGCGCTCCAAGTATAGACTGCAGTGCTTGTCCTGATTGCGCGCGTTTGTACAAGTTACAAAGGGGCTTCGTAATTTCCTGGATTTTCAAGCGGGTTTCGTTCTCGTAAGATTCAATCGGAGACCTCGTGCCAAGGCTAAGCATAATTTTTGCGCTAGGTTTTGTTAAGCTACTTTTGTAAAAGTCAATACAGAGAGGTTGTTTTCAATTGAAGCTAGTCCCCAGACCACATACGAGCGGCCCGATAGTAAACATGAAATGATTGCAAAGGATAAAACGGATGAGAGAAGGAAAATAAGTTTATCGAAAGGGGTGTCTTCACAAGATTCTTAAGATGAGACATAGATGGTTATGCAGATTACGGCTGTAACTCAGGGATGCTTCATACAAAATCTAACAAACATTTTAAAATATTGTTCTAATGGTTTCGCCTCATTCGATTTCTTAGTCTATCTTAACAACCCCAACAAACAAAGCTCACCATTTCTCTCCATAACAATTGCTTCTTCAGCTTTGCAATGCCAATCACAGTTAGAATGATTAAAGTAACACTTGCCATTTCGTAGACAATGACGACGACGTTGCTCTGCACACGAGCATACTGAAAAAAATTAACAATTTCCGTCTGAGTGAAAATCGTGATCCCATCATAATATGAAAAAGGACAATATCTGTACCGGAATAGGCCTAGAGCGTCCCGTGCGAACCCACTTGTTATCAATCCACTGATATTCAAAGTTAACAAGGAATAGTGGAGTATGCACTACAAATGAAATGAAAATCTCAATGATGAGCATCAAGTTTACGATTTTCGGTTTCCACAACTGAAATTCTGGCATTTAGAACAAATAACATTACTCTAACTTAATCAAAATATTTTTTAATGAGTATTTCAACGTACCAATGAATAAGTGTTCGGATGGCAAGCAGCTGTATATCGATTAATTGTCATTAGCAGGCATCCAAATAGATGAGTGAAGAAGTGAGTGCCGGTAAATGCACCCATTATACGAGTAAGAATTTCCAAATTCGGGCCTGAAAGAAGGCAAAATACTCTAGGAGAGTCGTGGCCGAAGTGGAGTAGAAATTGCGACCATATTAAGGATGTAGCGGGGAGAAAATATCTATGGTTTTATTCGTGTTTGAAAATCGCTAAGCTTGCATGAGCGGCGAACCCACACACGTGTGGGCCTTTGCGAGGAGCGTTTGCTACCAAGGTAATATAATAATGTAACTGCTCAGTGAGAATGTGTTTATTTAGGTGGTAACTCGTAAACTAAAGCTATAACTTAAGTCGTGATTTGTAAAAGGGCCAAAGGAAGTTGGGGTTTGATGGGATTGTATTGGAAAAGTAAAAAGGAAAGGGGAACGCGGGAAGGAAGAGGAGCCTATAATCAAGAATTCCCCAAAAATGGCCGTTGTCATATGTTTATGTATGTTGTAGCAGGTGTCCTCGTGGCAGAGAGGACTCTAGAAAAATAAAACGAATTTTTTTCCAACATAAGACTGTTTTTCTTTATTTGATTGTTCTTGAACACATGGCGTACAAAGAATAAATGGTAAAAGACTTTAAAGGCGTAATGTGGCCACATAACAGGAAGCTAGCAAGTTTCCTTTTTATTGACTTAAAAAAATGAGTCTTTCACGCTGGGTAAAAGAGTGGTAAAAGCTATCTGCGCAATTCTATAGCTTTTCGGCAGTAAATCAAAGTTGGCTCTTC